TGAAAAAATTAATTTAAAAGTGTGGATTATATTAAAATTTATATGAAACTTGGAATGTTTCTGCAATTATACAGATTATTATTATTATTTCTTAAGAAGAGGTTAAAAATCCAGGGGCGTATTTTGTGGCCAAAAATAAGGGTTTTTTATATATATATGTGTGTGTGTGTGTGGGGGGGGGGGCTTAGGACAGCCATTGTCCATATGTGCATATTGTGTGCATATTTAGTAAGTAGTTATGAAACAAAAAATTACCAGCTTTAGAAACTTACCAGTAGCGGAGGTGTGGTGAGCATCGATCATTATTTGCCAAAAAAATATATCACCCTGTATAATATTACAAATAAAATAGGAGATCATATGCACCATTACACCATCTTCACATTTTGTTTCTTTACACTTTTTTGTATTCCAAACAACAAAATTGATTTATTTGATCAAGTGCATTTTTACAGTTACTTAAATTACTTAAACATATCCTAGGGAGGCCATACAAAACAATAATAATAATAAGAAGCCGTCATCTTATTTAATATTGTGTATTGTTAAATTAAGCTTATTTTTTAAAAAGATTAAGTTTTAATAATGGCTTATTCAAATTCAAATGAAATGGCCAATATGGTTTACATTTATGACCTTGCAGATGGAAATGTTACTGAGGCTAAGCGAATTTATACGGAAAGATTTCCAAATCATTCAACTCCAAATCCAAGAATGTTCATATATGTTTTTCGTAATTAGGCTCATTTCAGAAAGGTCGAATTCCTGGACGACCTCTGAGTGTTAGAATGCTCGAGTTGGAAGAAGCTATTCTACACGAAATTGAAGATGACCCAATTACTGGTATTAGGAAGATCTCTGCAAATCTTAATGTGAATCATAAATTAGATTCATCCGTTCTGAACCATCAACAGATAAGTATACCTGTATCAAATACAAACGGTTCAATTCTTACTGCCACAAGGCGATTATCCTGCTCGCCTACAATTTTGCTACTGGATTTTGCAAAAAATTAACAAAATGTTGACGAAGCTAATTTTTCCAGACTTCCACAATAAACACGTTTGGTCTGATGAAAACCCTCATGCCATAATGGAATCTCGATTTCAACATCAGTTTTCTTTGAATCATTATTATCGAAAATTTTCTTGTTGGGCCTTACTTTTCACTAAGAACTTTAACCAGTGCATTCTACAGACATTTTCTTGAAAACGTTTTACCTAAACTACTTGACGATGTTCCCTATACGCTAAGAGAAAGAATGTGATTTATGCACAACGGGGCTCCCCCACATTTTAGTTTGACTGGTCCAAATAAGGTCTCCCCAGGAGCGTCATTCTACTACGTGCATATCCTGGGCACTCACCCAGGATATGCAGAGAAGTTTCATCCACCGAATCACATCCGCGGCAGACCGGACTGTCTACAAGCTTTAGCTTATGTAGGTGTCGCATTATGAGTCCCGCTATCCTGAGCCGGATTTTATTCACGCTCAGTAAATCGTTTGCTCTTTCCTTCGAAGGATACTCCATGACCTCATTAGAATGACTATGTCCTGACCTTGAAATCCAATATTTCCTATGTTCTGTCTCGGTCTATTTGCCCAGAGCCCGCCTGACCACACTGGGAGATGTACCACAGAAGTGCTCCGGGCCAATGAACTCTGTCTCGGATCCTTTCCTAGCAAGTTCATCCGCTTTCTCGTTCCCACAAATGCCTTTGAGTCCTGGCACCCAACACAGTCTAACTGTATTATTGGTGGCCAGTTAAGTCAGCATTTGTAAACAATCCCACACAAATTTTGAACTTATCTTGTATGCGCCTAAAGCTTTAATTGCAGCTTGACTATCAGAGAATATATATGAGTTTACGTTTATAACCTCTACGTACATTCTCTGCCAAGCACGTCATTACCGCGAAAATTTCTGCTTGGAATACGGTAGGGAACGCCCCCAGACTACAGCTTGCACTCCATCTGGGTCCTGAGTCCATATATTTCTGAACCCGTCCCTCTGGCCATTTTGAAGCCATCTGTAAACCATACTAGGCTCTACCTTTCCAGGGTATTAAACCTTTCCTCCCATTTGCTTTGCTCCTCTATTCTAGTCTGAAATGGCTTGTGGAAGAGAAACCTTGGAACCATCTTGTCAGATACCATCGCAAAAGTTGTTTCCGACATGGTATCCATGATCCTGGAATAAGAACTACCCCTCCGGTCGTTGTTATTCTTGAGTTGATATGCTGCTAGCCGCGCTTCTCTTTCCACCACTATATGCAGCGGTGGTGATTTAGCATGACTTATAGCCCAGCTGTCGGGGTCGATACCATCGCCCTACCTAACCAGGCCAGTCTCTGTCTTCCAGTGCGCCATCCACCACTAATCCCTATAACAAGGGAGATAGTACGCCTCACTGGGGGCAGCCCCGGCTTACTTTACACTTGGATGTCTCTCCCGAAAGGGTAGCTGTTACTGTCCGGTTTTTCAATATGGTATCTATCCAACGACATAAAGTGTCATTGCGAACTGCCGAGTTAATAGATTCGAAGGGTCTATTATCAAATATCTAGAAAAGCTGAGACTAGGTTATGAAGGGCTGTGTCGACTGATTTCAGGAGGAAATATGTCAAACTTATCGGGCGATATACCTTTGCCTGGGCATACGATAGACGCCCTGGTTTAGGAATAAACGCCGCGTTCGTCGATTTCCATGCGAGCGGTACCTATATAACCAAGTGCAATGCTGGCTCTGAAGATGTGATTTAAGACCGGAGCTAGACAGTGCACCCCCTGCTGTAACAGTACGGGTAGGATTCCATCAGCTCCTGGTGATTTAAATGGGTCAAAGGAAATTATGGCCCATCTTATTCGTGACTGGCTCACCACCATCTTGGCAATCTCCCAGTTCTGTCGAGACCCGGTCGTTACCCTCTGCTGGTGATCTCAGTCATTTCGTCTCCGTGTTTAATAACCTGGAGCCTGGAAAGTGAGTTTTTAGAAGTAGCTCCAATGTCTCCCTTCCAGTTTTAGTGTATTCTCCACTCGGTGCTTTAAGAGACCCGAGTTTCGTATTACCGTTCTTAGAGAGAAGTCTCTGAAGTTTAGCACGCTGTGGGACACTATTAATATCCTCACAGAACTTCCTCCATGAGTCTCTCTTCGCTCTTCTAATTTCTTTATTATACTCAGTGAGGGTTGCTCTATAAGCCTTCCACTCTCCTGTCCGCTTTGCTCTATTAAATAGTTTCCTTGTCTGCCCCCTCAACTGTGTGAGTTCCTTACTCCACCACGGTACGGTGTGGTTGTCTTACATCTCAAGACATTAGTTTACAAGGTTCACATCGAATCTGAGGAGAACTTACGTCGACAAATTATACCTGGTTGTGATGTGATAAGAGCTACTCCTGGAATTTTGCACGTGTTCAAGCTGCAATTTCAAGAAAATCTGAAGCATATATTTTGGCTGAAGGTGGCCATATCCAACATTTGTTATAATAAATCATAGTAAAGTAATTTCATTGTTTATTAATTATTTTGTTATTTTAAGTAACGTAATGAGTATCGTAAAAATGCACTTCATCAAATAAATAACGTAATGAGTAATCGTAAAAATGCACTTCATCAAATAAATTAATTTTGTTGTTAATCGGTTTGGAATACAAAATAGCGTAAAAAACAAAAAGTGAAGATAATGCAATGGCGCACTTGATGACCTATTTTATTTGGTAACATTATACAGTGTGATATTTTTTTGGCAAATAATGATCGATGATACCCACACCTCCGCCACTGGTAAGTTTCTAAAGCTGGTAATTTTTTGTTTCATACCTACTGTCATACTAAATATGCACACCGAAATTGATTAAATTATCTCATGCGATTTCATTTAAAATTAAAATCTGATTTTTTTTTATTTTTGACACGCTGTAGCCGAACAATTGCTGTCCTAAGACCCCACATTTGTACAACATGCCCATGGATTTATTATTTTTGGCCACAGAACATGCCCATGGATTTTCGTCCTCTACTTAAGAAACACCCTGTATGTTATTTTAGTTGTGTGAGATGAGAAAATTGACACAACGGTCCCTATTATTATTATTACTTTATTTATTTCATTTTTGAGGAAGGTTCAATCCATAGAAAAAGATTTTTTTTATCATGTTATTCATAGCATTTCATTAAGTATTTGTGAAAAGCAGGGGTTGAAGGGCTGAAAATGAGTTTGATTAGTACCGACCCTAAGGTCATTTACGGATGCGAGTTTGAAGATTTTGGGATGTTTTTATTTTATGCATCTTGTCATCGTCCGAGGGAAGGGGGAACTTTTGGCTGCGATCCTCTCATACTGGCGGTTTCGGTGGAATATTTCGGAAAGATGGGTGAATTTGTTGTCTTCCTCCCGCGCGATGGGAGGACTACAGTGCTGTGTTGTATGCATGTCTAGGGTATCTGAGGCGCGTTAGTGGCAATCAGGGCTACTTTGTCTTGACGGGAGAATTTTGGAAAGATGCGTGAAATTTGCTGTTTGCGGTTGGAGGGATGCAGTGTTCTGCTACAAACTTGGCAGCATCGTCGTGTGGGTTGCGGCGGGAAAGCGTTGGAAAGATTTGCGAAAACGTGATTTACCTCTCTGTGTCCTCGGAGCGGTGTAGTAGGTCGTCTATTGTAGTTTGTCTGTGGTTAAATACTAGTTAGCGGGAACTGCGCTTTGTGTAATGAGTCCTCGACGTATGAATATAATATGGAAACATCGTTGAAAATTGAGGGAACTGCACCTTGGGGCTTGAATTCCTATTTTGCTGACGGGAACTGCGCCATGGGGGCTCCTCTTCATAGATTGTTGTAAGTGTAAATTCACTCGCCCTACGAACTACGACATATTATCGTAATACAGGTTCTGAGCGGATTTCGCTTGTTTCAAAAGTCGCTCCATGAGGTCCCGTCGCGGCTAGAGTCCAGAACGATATCCCGAAAGAAGTAGTTGGAATTTTCACTTCAGGCACAGTCGTCACCCACAGAGGCAGATGCTGTCAACGGAGATATCAAGGACGATGCTTTGCGGGAACTACCAAAATTCACCGATCTTTCCAAAGTTTCCGCCATAGCTTCAAAAAACCACTAGTAGCCCTAAATCATCCCGCCGCAGCAGACTACACAGCCAGAGGTCGATGCTCGTGCGCCTCCTCCGTGACGTTTCCTAAAGGGGCCGCCAGGGGTGGATGGCTATAACACCTGTGTTCTTCCTTCATGTATGACGAGGTTGTTGGCTGCTAAGGAAGATAGTCCACAATCTAATTATAACTAATTAGATTGTAGACCATCTTGGATAACTCCAAATTACAGTTCTCTTACTGTTTGGTAGTTCAGTTTGAGTTTCAACTGACCCTGTATAATGTTTTGCACTGACTCAGGATTTTGTATAACACTGCAAATACTAGGACTCTATAGTGTTTTGTGTGGCTAGGCATTAAAAGTTCTGGTTCTGAGATCCATAATGGGAACCTCCAAGCGTTGTCAGCTTGGGCACTGCGCCTCGTAGGAGGGCAGCTAACGAGTTGGGTACCCTTTGGGGTTTTCGTCATAGGCAAAGACTGATCTAGACGAGAAGCTTTGTAGGCGTTAAAGCGCATTTGTGATTTTTTAGGAGAGAATCTAACTCTTAAATTTTAAAGAATTTTATTTTTTATTATTTATTTCGAGCAAAAGAAATAATGTGCATGTATATAATTTTATAAGTTATAGTTATAGTTATAAGTTATACAATACAAAAAACTTTTTAACGAGAGTGACTTGCTGTAAGAGTTCAATATGGCGAGTACACACTCTGGTCAGGCATCCGACCTTGGGTATATTGTCAACTATAAGTATTTTAGAGAGAGGAAGAGTAATATTCAAAATTTAAATAATCACCCTGTAAATGTAGTCAAAACTTTGAAAGATAAATATGTATGGACGTACCTATGGCATTATTTTATTTGGACACATTTTTCTTGAGTAGATTTTTACAAAAATACCCTCAGTAGAAACACTTATTCATTTAATTCATTTCATAGAACAAAATTTATAAATATAATTAGAATCAATTACATGTCAGCATTGCACAATAGATTTAAAAGCAACGAAAAGTGCCCAGTTGCAAATTGGACTGACCCTGGCACTATGTCCATCTCTCTCTCTCTCTCTCTCTCTCTCTCTCTCTCTGTCTCTCTTAACTGGTGAACTGATTCAGACATTGTTCCCGATTCTTCTACCGGTGGTTTAATTCTAATGCACTCAGCATTTTGTAAAGAATATTTAAACCCCGGAAACTTGGTGCATCGGGGGCCAGTCCGGAGCCACCTTGAGAGCCAATTGATGGCCAGGAGCCTCCACTTGATAAGCAACCCCTTGGAGTGTAGGTAAAGATTGCTTACCAGCAATTAGGCCATGCTTGGCCCTTTTTGTCTGCTAACTTACACTACCCTCCACCTTAACAATCACAAACATCCATGGTACGACAGGAAAATTCGAAAGAATTGTCCTGCCGCGTGCGGGATTCGAACCCACTACGGTTTTGCCGCACAGCCCTGGCTCGCCTCTGTAGGCAAGCCTTGGCCGCTTCGGCTACCTTGGAGTGTAAGTATGTGTATTTTATAATAAACTGTAAAAATTGATTGATTTGTGTGTTTTTCCCTTTCAGCAGCCAAGCGAGTAGCCTGAAGTAATAATAATATCTTTTTTTACCAGTTATTTTAGTATTTTAAACGGGAAACGTGACAATATATATATAATATATTAAAATGATATATGATGATATGAAATGATACGAATTTTTTTTTTTTTTTTGGTATATATACAGGGTGTAACGTAAAGGTTGGGAATAAATTAAACAGTGGATTCTTTAGTTTAAAAAATATTTTTCTGTCATATAAAGTTATGCTCTACGGGTTTTCTTTTTCAAGCTACAGGGCGTTAAAAAATTTCAAAAGATTTAGTTTTTCTCTAATAACTTTCGAACATTAGAAGATAATGGAATGAAATTTTATCCATAGCTTAATTTGATAATCCCCTAGTAAAAGGAAAAAGATTGGCTTTGTAAGTTACTCAGTGGCGTGCGTACAAATTATATCGTAAGGTTTTTCGAAGAAAATTGTGGTAAGCCACTGGTGAAAACATTTTTTTTTAATTTTTTTATGATCCACTTTTTATTTTAAACAAAATTACCCTCTTGCGTTTTATTCCTAGCTCTTGTCGCTTTTCCGTAAATAAACGTTTTGTTTTTGTCCCACTGCTAACATAGGAAAATGAAAATAAAAGTATTATGAAGTATACTTTGACCAAGCCACAAAAATTTATTTTCAGATGTTTTCAGACACAACATCATTGTCAGTCTTGACATCTAGCTTTCCTTAAGCGGTTGTACTTTGGTTTAGATCTGTTAGAAATGGTATACTCATTTCCAGAATTAGCAGTTATGCATTTTATTTACGGCCTTGCCAACGGAAATACTGTGTTAGCTGTGCGTCTTTATGTTGAAGGTTTTCCATCTCGGCGACGAAGACTTTTTCGAGAATTCATGTGCGCTTACGTGAAACCGGCTTGTTAAAGCCTTGCACCTCCGGCGGAAGATCTCGAAATGTAAGAACAATACATCTTGAAGTACCGCATCCTTCAGATGGTCGAGGTGAATCCTAAATCAAGTACTAGAAGAATTGGAAGAATGGAAAGAATAAATCATATGAAGAATCCTGCATGATAATTTGTTACACCCATACCATCTGCAAAGAGTTCAGGCACTTTCTGTCGAAGATTATGCATCACGTCTTAGATTTTGTACCTGGTTTTTAAATAAGTGCAATCGGAACTTGTTATTCCACTCATCCATTTTATTTACCGACGAAGCTGGATTTACAAGGGATGGTATAATTAATTTCCACAATAGTCATATATGGGCTGATGAAAATCCGCATGGAATAATACAATCCCGGCACCAGCAACGATTTTCAATTAATATTTGGGCCGGAATAATTGGCGATGTTTTTATTGGTCCCATAGTACTACCAAACAGACTAGGCGGTTTATCGTATCTGGATTTTCTTCAAAACAGATTACAACCTATATTAGAAGTTCCAATTAAAACACGCCAGAACATGTGGTTTATGCATGATGGCGCCCTCAATGAAACTTTCTCCAATAAATGGATAGGTCGTGGCGGGCCAAGAGCGTGGCCTGCTCGTTCTTCCGAACTTAATCCAATAGACTATTATGTGTGGGGGCACTTAAAATACATAGTTTATTTTACAGATTCTTCGTCAAAGAGTTGAAATGGGCTGTCAGCAAATTGGAGATATGACTATTGATATGACTTGGGGGGCAACATTTCCATCACCTTATTTAATCTTGTTTGTTGTTTATTACTTCTTATTACCTACTCAATAAATTCTTTAAATTCCTAAGTCACTAGTGTTTTTTTATTATTGTTAAAATAATGTGATATTTTAATATCATTTTCAAAACAAACCAGTCTTTTTTTAATGCCTGTTTGACCATTTTCGGTAGCTGAGTCAAAGCATACATCATAATGATTTTTTGTTATTTTCATTTTCCTATGTTAGCAGCGGGAAAAAATGGTATTTACAAAAGTTTTATTTACGAAAAAATGACAAGAGCTAGGAATAAAACCCAAGAGGGTAATTTTGTTTAAAATAAAATGTGGACTACAAAAAAAAATATTAAAAAAATGGTTTTACCAGTGGCGTACCACAATTTTCTTCGAAAAACCTTACGGTATAATACCACGCCACTGAATAACTTACAAAGCCAATCTGTTTCCTGTTACTAGGCTTTTATCAAATTAAGCTATGGATGAAATTTCATTCCATTATATTCTAATGTTCGAAAGTTATTGGAGAAAAACTAAATCTTTTGAAATTTTTTAGCGCCCTGTAGCTTGGAAAAGAAAACCGGTAGAGCATAACTTCATATGACATTTATTTTTAAACTAAAGAATCCACCGTTTAGTTTATTCCCAACCTTTACGTTACACCCTATATATATATACATCTTTCATACATCTTTCATACATCATATATATATATA